GATGAGCTTTAAGGTCTCTTCTAACCCAAACTATTCAATGATTCTATGATTAACTTGGTGGCAGATTTCTCAATGTTGTACACAAACTGCATCTCAGTTCTGCTTTGTTTACCTCTGAACATCCTCACTTTAACTTTCCAGCTTGGAGAGATACCCTGGGCTTTGCTTACCTCCATTCAAAATCACATCTTCATTTAAAGTGAGTGGCACTTTTAGAAATACTTGCAAAGCCAGAGATAAACTTTATTCGCTGATAGTAGATCATTGAGTAACTTTCTCCAAAGCAAAGACACGGCATCTCCAAACTGCAGAGGAGAAACCACCCTTGATGGACCAGCTCAGTTATGCCTGTAATGTGTCATTAGTGGATATTGTGCCGAGTTTTTGCTGGGAGCTCTGGCTTTGACCCTTTGTACTTGAAAGATTTACGTTCCCAATTGCGGCAGCAGATTAACGTGGCACAGTGTGGTTTTAGTGGAAGAGAGGGTTATTATGTTAAGTGTTGTTTCTCATGTATCCTGCAGTCAGATTTCTTTCTCCTGCTCACACAAACATGTACTCCAGCCAGTTATTCTAGCAAAGCCAGGTTTTAAAAGTTGGTAAATGTTTAATAACACAGGCTGCTTTGGTACATGGAAGCCTCCACTCTGGTTTCTTTTGCTGCTGGTGGAGGTTTCTCTACAATCTTTCCACCTTTCTTTGGCCTTCAAAATACCTGTTCAAAACCAGAAATCTACTTAACCTGTGGATGAACCCTTCAGCTGTGTCCTTGTATTAAGTTGTCTTTTTCTGTGCTGCCCAGCAATGCTTGAACCTCTAAGATCAAACCCATAGACGCCTCCAACCAGGTACAGCCTCTCCAACTTAGTGTTCTTGAGTGACCAGCTGAGCTGAACAGAGTCATGTCAGAGGAGTTTCACAGAATCCCAGACTTGCCTGGATTGGAAAAGACCTTCAAGATCATTGAGTCCAATCATTAACCCAACACTGACAAGTCCCCGACTAACCCATGTCCCTCAGCACTATGTCTACATGACTCTTCAATCCCTCCAGGGATGGGAAGGTTGGAAAAGACCTCCAAGGTCATCAGATCCAACCATCAACCCAACACCACCATGCCCACTAAACCATGTCCTGAAGTGTCATGTCTACAGGTTTTTTTTAACACCTCCAGGAATGGGGACTCCACCACTGCCCTGGACAACCCCTTCCAATGCCTGAGAACCCTGTCAGCAAAGAAATTCTTCCTCACATCCAATCTCAGCTGCCCTTGGTGCAACTTGAGGCCATTTCCTCTAGTCCTGTCACTTGTTCCTTGGTTGAACAGACAGATTCCAGCATCCTCTCTCCATCAGTTTGCTGTCCAGAGAGCTGGAGTTGTGCTTGCATCTCCTGCCCATGTTTGGAACAGCCTCTAGCACACTCAAAACAGTGTTGGTTTGACCCCAAATATTTTTTTCCTCTTTCTCTCCAGGAGAAGTATGAAGAGGAAAGCGATGTTCACGTGTCCCTTCAATGGTGACTGCAAAATCACCAAGGACAACCGGCGGCACTGCCAGGCGTGTCGGCTGAAGCGCTGTGTGGACATCGGGATGATGACAGAGTGTGAGTATGTGGATGTGTGTCCCATGGGGAACAGCCCGGCTTCGTGCTGTGATGTCCTTTTCCATCTCAGTGCGTGGTGCAGAAGGCAGGCGCGTGAGCATCAAACCCAAGAGCCCCAGAAGGATTTGAAGAGGAAGCAAAGGGCAGGTGATGCGGTGGGTAATGATTGAGAGGAGCTCGTTTAATGATTGAGGCTGGTCCTGTGTATGTGGATGTGTGTCCCATGGGGAACAGCCCGGCTTCGTGCTGTGATGTCCTTTTCCATCTCAGTGCGTGGTGCAGAAGGCAGGCGCGTGAGCATCAAACCCAAGAGCCCCAGAAGGATTTGAAGAGGAAGCAAAGGGCAGGTGATGCGGTGGGTAATGATTGAGAGGAGCTCGTTTAATGATTGAGGCTGGTCCTGTGGTGGTGAGTGATCCAGGGGGTTGCTTTTATCAAAGCCAAGTTGTCTTTGTGGGCTCTTAGTGGGGCATCAACTGAGTTGAGAACATCTGGGGCTGTTTCTGATTAACCAAACTTACTCCCATCCTGCCTGTGCAAAGTCATTGTCCTCTCCGACGTGTTTTGCCATGTTCCTTGCTGCATCCAAACAGGGGGAATGGAATGAAATTCCCCACAGCAACAGCAATTTCTGTCAGCGTGGAACTGGCTCACGTTTTGCTCTGCAACACCTCTTGGGTTTGGTTGGTTTTTTTATTTTTTTGAACCCTTATTCTTACAATCTGCATCCATCCGTTCAGCCACGTGCGCAGCAGAGACTTAAGTAAATAGCAGAGGGAAGTGATGTAGTTTTTACCCCAATCCAAACACCTTAATGTTGTCCAAATATTTATTTTCTCCAACTATATTTATAGATAAGCAGCTTTTAAAAATAAAATCTGTTTGACACACTTCCTCCTACGTACGGGTGCTTTCCACGTCCGAAGTCTTCAGGAGAAGGCTGGTAGCATTCAACCCAAAATAACAGCCTTTTGCTAGGAGACATTGCAAACAGGACGTCACGTCGTATGATTGATGGACCTGAAAATTTGGAAAATGGAAGTGATGCCGGTTTCCTTACGTGGTGAGCAGTGAGCAAACAGAGTCCAATGTCACAGGGTGCTACCAAAGCACCTGGGTCCTCTAGGAAATCAGAACTTGGCGGTGTTTGCAGGAAAAAAAAAAGCCTAAATTTCCAATTGTCCCAAAGATTGAGCAGATCCTCAGATCTTCTTTTTTTTTTTTTTTTTAAACTAGCAGCTGTGTCCCATAAAAAGGAAGAAAAATACCAGATAATACACCATGTGCACCCATATTTTGGGTGAAGACGAGGACGTGTGAGCCCGTGGTAGCTGATCGGTGTGGTCCATTTGGCATAACTGTTGCTAATGAGGGAAATGTGTTGACTTGCACCAGTTAATTACCCTAGAAGTGCCGGAAGAAATCAATGGCAGTGATGTACGGGGTGTTTACACCCCAGCTGGGGCCAGGTCCCAGGGGTGGACCAGATTCCAGGGATGGGCCAGGTCCCAGGGATGTGCCAGGAGTTAAATTATAAGTGACCCTGTTAACAAACTTCTACAAGATTAACAAAGCCTAACCTAAGGAGACTAAAAATAGCCTTCCCGTGGACTTTGCTGCTGGTGAAATGAAGGGGAACGTGGTGTACTGCTGTTATTTTTAGGTTGAATCGGGGATCTTGAAGCTCTTGAGGGGGGGTTGTGTCTTCCCTGGGCTGTCACTAAAGGTGATAAGGAGGGTCAAAGGCAAGGCTGGGATGGTTTGACCCTGTTGTCGAGTCAGAAGCAGAAATCAGAGCATGAGATGGGGATGAGGAAGAGGAAGAGGGCAGACCTTGTGCCTACGTTAATTTGGGGTCTGATGCAGGCAAGAGCCTTCTCCATCCCTGGAGCATGGGGGATTGGATGGTGTTAGACATCACCTCCAGCCCAAACCACACTGGGCTGAGACCTACGGCAGCACGGCCGTGCCAAGGATCCCTTCCCTGGTGCATGGTCCAGGTTTGGTTACAGCTGAACCTGTGGACCAGACACTCCGGTGATGGGCTGGAGGAGCAGCAAGGAAGAGATTGTGCATGTTCAAACTCATACAGAGCAAAAGTCGTGAGCCACTGACGCTCCCTGGGGACAGCGTCGGGGCAGCCACCATCCCCTGAGGAGAGACCAGGGAGGGGAGGAGGTGAAAGCTGGAGGGCAGCCGAGGTTATGACCATGAGGCTGGAAGAGGATTTATAGCCCTGCCGCAATGCCTGGGTTCACCCTAAGCTGTCCCCAGCCAACGTTAGCAAATAGTTGTGGTTTTCTTCCTGTCTTATCCGTGTGGGGTAAAGCACAGGGCAAACTTCCGGGGCTGTGCGGCGGGTAGTTGGTGGAGGAGAAATCCACCTCGCAGCCTGAGCTGTGGCGTTTGGGAACGCTCCTTTTGCCACTCTTGGGAGTGATTTCTCTTCAGATAGCTCCAAAGAGGGCAGGTGTGATGGTTTCACTGGACCAGCACTGGGCTGGCAGCCAACACAACCATTCACCCACTTCCCCCCTACCCCCAGGAGACAGGGGAGAGGATTGGGGGGCAAGGGTAAGGAAACTCATAGGTTGAGATAAGAACAATTTAATAACAGAAATAAAAGAAAATGTAAAGTAATACTAATATTAAAATAGTAGTGATAATAACACTAACAAAATAGTCAAATGAGTGACACCCAGTGCCATTGCTCACCACCCGCCGACCCAGCCCGGCCCAGTCCCAGATAATGATCCCAGAGCAGCGACAATCCTGAACTGAAACTGCAATCCCAGGAGAGCCAGAGCCCGAGTGAAAGCCAGAGAGAGGAAGAGCCCCTCGTGAATCTCCTGCCCATGGGGGACAGGAGATGGAACAGCCCCTTGGCAGAGCCAAACACCAGTTTAGCTTATTAAATTAAATATTCCTTGCCCTGCCTAGATCTTGCACTTTGCAGACCAGCAAAACACAAAATCCTTCGACTTTCAGTGAAAATTGAAAACACCAATATGTTATCAGTGTTTCTCTCATAACAAATCCCAGCTGAAACCAAACCCCAGTGCTGTTCCAGCTACTAAAAAGAAACCAGATCTGTCCCAGTTAAAACCAGGAGAGCAGGTGTCCAGCTTAGGGATGCCTCCACTGCTTCCCACTGGTTTTTCCTAGGATGAACATACTTTAAAGTGGAACGAAGGGTCTGTTGCTGGACTATCCTGCCTCCTTTGACACTGTTTTGGGTGGCAAAATGCTGAAGTTACCCGTTTCTGCCCTGAAAAATTCCCTTTTGCCAACTGCCTGGAGATCAGGAAGGGATGTCCATCCCCTGGGGCTGTGTTGGTCAAAGCATGGGGTGTTAGATGGACCCAGGCTCACCTTTGAGTGATTCACCTCTCTTAGTGTCTCTGCAGGGATGGGGGGACAGGTCCCCTATCCTGCATGGTCTAAAGGTGTTGCTGCAAAGCAAGAAGATCAGAGAATGATTAGATCAATTATGCATCACGTAGAAGATCATAGAATGGTTTGGGTGGGAAGGGACCTTCAAGCTCATCCAGTTCCAACCCCCCTGCCAGCAGCAGGGACACCTTCCACTAGACCAGGTTGCTCAAAGCCTCATCCAACCTGGCCTTGAACACTTCCAGGGAGGGGCAGCCACAACTTCTCTGGGCAACCTGTAAGATAAATGATGCATCACCAAATCAAGTGCCCAGAGGGACCCACAGGCTCCCCAGGGCTGCAGCCATCTCATAGCATTGAATTTATTCTCTTCTCACCACCTTACTTGCTGCTGGGGAATTATTTTGTGCCTGTCACGGTGCCAGTCAGCCAGCAATCAGTGAATTTCCTTGGGAAGGTCTCCAGCTGTGTCCTGGGGCAGTTTGTCCCTCCGCAGCCAGGTCCTTGGACATCAGTGAAAGTGGTTGCAGCTCAACCCCCTCCCCGGTGCTGCAGCAAGGTCTATAGCTTGCCTGGGGTCAGCACCTCATGGATCTTCTCGTCCCTTTTCCAAGGAAAAGGCTTGCCCCAGGATCTGGTTGTAGTCACAAGCAGCTGACATTCAGCATCCTCACCACGAGACTCAATTTATGATCTCAGTGTTGAAAATCCTCAAAAGGGAGGAGAAAAGAAAACCAAACAAAACCCAAATCATTGTCTCGGAGCCAGAGTGAGGAGGAGAAACTGGAAGGAGAAATGGGAATTTCCTGGATTGGTCAGGAGAGGAGCGGAGATGCTCGAGGGAGTGGGCAGCGCGAGGGCAGCGGTAGCCGGCAGGGTTATGGTTGTTGAGGGTGGGACCGTGGGATGAGGATGAGCAAGGAGGGAGGTGATGTTTCCACCTCTCCTCCACTTCCCCAAATAGGTGGTGAAAAAAAAAAAAAAAAAATTCCCTGTTATCCCAAATGTGGAATGTGTTATTCCCCAGCCCAGGACCTACTGCACGGTGAGATGACTGGCCAGGAGGTGAAGAAGGAGCATGAGAGGGAGGGAAAAGTTGTGGCCATCTGGGAAAGTCACTTGGTGGCGGCAGGTGTTGGCAGGCTGGCTGGGAAGTGTCTCCAGTCCCCGTGGGCTCGAAGCACATGCTATAAACATCTAGCGTCCTCTGGAATTAGAGCAGGCTTGGAAGCCAGCAGATGTTGAGCATCTGCAAAGCCTTCTCTGAGATCTGTGCAAGCAGGGCTTTGGTTAGCCATGTCTCCGCTGCATTGGAGAGACGTGACCTCTTTGGTGGGAGGAGAGCAGTAACTGATGACCCTGCAGCTGCTGTCACTGCTCCAATCCGCTCCAGTGAAGGTCCAGGACCTGTGATTTAAATTGCTGCTGCTTGTCCATCACTGAAAGCTTTCCTCCTCTCTGGTTTCCTTGCAAACCCACGTGTTGGAGGAGATGGACGCCAGATATCTGTCCAGCTTGTAGCCCCATCAGAGGGCTGGAGCACCTCTCTTATGAAGAAAGGTTGAGGGAGCTGGGCGTGTTTAACCTGGAGAAGAGGAGGCTCCAGGGAGACCTTCTAGCAGCCTTACCACGATGGCTGTGCCAGGCAGGCTGTCCTGGGATGGGGGAACAACCACAGGGCTGTTTGCATCCCTGGGGCTTGACAGTGCAGCAGCACTCACCATTCAAGCTTCAATGAAATGCTCAAGGGTCTGGAGCACAAGTGTGCTGAGTTCCCTTGTGGCTGAGGGAACTGGGGTTGTTGAGCCTGGAGAAAAGGAGGCTGAGGGGAGACCTTCTGGCTCTGTCCAACTCCCTGAAAGGAGGGTGGAGAGAGGTGGGTCTCAGTCTCTTCTCCCAAGTAACAAATGATAGGACAAGAGGAAATGGACTCCAGTTGCTACAGAGGAGGTTTAGATCAGATATGGGGAAAAACGTGGTCAGGCATTGGAACAGGCTGCATAGGGAGGTGGTGGAGTCCCCATCCCTGGAGGTGTTTGAAAAACGTGTAGATCTGGCGCTTCAGGACATGGTTCAGAGGGCATGGTGGTGTTGGGTTGACAGTTGGACTTGATCTTAGAGGTCTTTTCCAGCCTTAATTCTGTGATTCTCAAACTCCATCCAGTTTCATGCCTGATGTTTCCTAAACTTTGATTTTCCTTTATATTTGGTTGCTCTTTCTTTACCTGATACGGCGAGTCTGCCTTCGTGCTGCTCCACGCTGTCCTCCAGTGCTTCCTGCCCCTGGTTTTGGCCAAGGTTGCAGGGTTGTATCCTTGTGTGCTCCCCTCAGTGTCAGCTGTGGCTTTCCCTGCTACCCTTGTGGTGTCTCGTAAAGAGGCCAACATCTGTCTGGAAGTGATGGGCAGATGTTATCTCAGCCTCCACATGGATTTTGGGTCAGGGCAGCCCACAAACACTCAGCCATGTCGCTGGTCGTGCCAGGAGTTTGTGGCTGGATGTCTCCAGCTCAGCGTTCGGGCGGAGATTGGATCAAGGTCAGGTTGGATGAGGCTTTGAACAGTCTAGTCTAGTGGAAGATGCTCATGGCAGCAGGGTGGGAATGAGATGATCTTTAAGGTCCCTTCTGACTCAAACCAGTCTGCATTTCTATGATCTGGGGCATAAGCCAGGATCTTGAGTGGAAGCTGCAGGTGTTGAGACACTTCCCGATCCCATATTCCCTCTCGAGACAGGCAGGGACATGGTGGGCAACATCCATCCTTCTGTGAGTACAAATTAAATGAATTGAATCCTTTTCCCCAGGACTTTATAAAGCAGGCAAGTCACTGCACTGACATCCCTCATCCGTGTTACCACTGGTCCTACGGAAAAGCCATTCCTCTGGCACAGCCAAGCAAAGTGGTTGCTGCTCCCCAGCGTCACCGGGAATGATTTCACCAGAAACGCCAGAGGTGGTTCTCAATCCCCAGTGCCGATGCTGGGCTGTGTCTGGGCTTGCACAAGTACCCCTGTGTCATGGCACGGGTGTTCACAACACCAGATGAGCTGTGAGGGAATCGCGACTCCCCTTTATCTAATTCTTTTAAGCCCTACAGGGCTTCCTTTGGGTTTTTGTCTCCTGCAAGTCCTATCAGGGCATTAAACACCAAACCTGGACAATACTGCTGGCCAGAGTTTCTGTTTCAAATCTGTTTGAGGGCTGGATTTATCACAGAATCCCAGACTGGTTTGGGTTGGAAGGGATCTTAAAGCTCATCCAGTCCCAACCCCCCTGCCAGCAGCAGGGACACCTTCCACTAGACCAGGTTGCTCAAAGCCTCATCCAACCTGGCTGAGAACACTTCCAGGGAGGAGCAGCCACAGCTTCTCTGGCCAATCTGGGACACTGTCTCACCACCCTCACAGCAAAGAATTTCTTCCTCACATCTCATCTCCATCTCCCCTCTGCCACTTTCAAGCCATCACCCCTTGTTCTGTCACTACCTGCCTTTGTAAAAATTCCCTTCCCAGCTTTCTCGTAGGCTTCTGTTTCCTAAATGTGGGTTTCCTAAATCTCCTTGAGATTTCCCTTGCAGTCTTGCCCCAACACAGAAACATGCTTTTCTTTCCAATCCGCTCTGCAGATGCTTCCTAATTTCAGATCGATTCACTTGCATGATCTGAGATTTGCTTGGTGTAGATACCTGCAATAATCCCTTCCAAAGCTCCAGTGCTTGGGACAGACCAGGCTGGCAAAGACTTTGAACACCATGGCCACAGCCCAGGCACTCAGCTCTTTGTCC